ACCGCCCGCCCATTGGGCGAGGCGCAGCCAATAGCAGCGCTCCTGCGCGCGGCCCGTGCTCCTCCACTGGCCGCACACGCCCGCGCCGCACCGCTCCGCAGCGCCCATTGGCTGGCGGGGGCTGGGACCGCTCCAATAGGGACGGGGCACGGATTGTGACTCGCCCGCCCGAGCTAGCGAGCTCCTAGGCCAATGGGAGCGCGGAGCTGGGCGCCGCGTGTAGCAGCTGCGCGCGCAGCCTAGGGCGGGGAGCTGCGCTGTGTAAGGCGCCCGCGGGGGAGCTGAGATGCTAGTTAAATGCCAAACGCAACAGTGTCAGTGCATGTGCTCAGTAGTTCCTATTTCTTATCAGCTTAAGTCCGTGGTACGGTAACACCCACCTGCTATAGCCAAGGGTAGAGGTTAGAGATCCTCCAGCTAACTTGGCCACCAGAAGTGGTGCAGCTGCAGCAGGTGGGACTCCAGGCAGGATAGCTGACCCTGCTTCTCTTTGCCAGCCATGCAAATTCGCCTATGCCGAGTTCCAGGCTGTCCTGACTAAATTACTTCCAGTGCCTAAGTTTGCCTTGTTGAAGGAATGTAGGTGTATGTACGGTTAGGTGACTTTGAAAATGTAAATGGTACTTATACAGTGGCCTTCAGTGCCTATAGGCGCACCACAAACCTTTGAGGATTTCCGCGTTAGATGACTTTGAAAACAATCCCTGTTTACCTGCATCAGAGTGCTAAGTGCCACCTCGTTATTTAAAAACAGGACTAGCAGTTCCTTCCTTCCCAGGCTGTTGGAGAACGTATGCTACACCAGGGGTGTCAAAGATGAGGCCTCTGCATTGGATCCAGCCCATGGAGCCCTATGATCCAGTTCATGGGACCCGAACCAACCCCCTTGTGCCCCACGTGCTACAAACCAGCCCCAGGCTTACTCTCAGACCTGGTGGTACCTGCGGCTAGACCTGGTGCTATGTTACTACACGCAGTGCAAGGCTGGTCTAGGGTATGCACTGCATGAGGTGCCTGTGCTGGACTGGCTCTGCCCACACTGGTTCCTGTGGGGCCAGATGAGTTTGACATCCCTGTATTATACCATTTACATTCAGTTCCATTTCATCAGCATATTTCATTTAGTTTTTAATCTCCCTAGTTATACAGTCACTATGTGTCATATACAAACGTGAATGAACCCATACCCTCAACAACACCATGAGATAAGGCAACGTAGCAGTGAGGTAAAGCAGTATTATCCCAATTTTACAGATCTAGGATTAAGGTACAGAGAAACCAAGTGACTTCTTACACAAAAAAGATTTTGACAGTTACAAGTATTGCAAACTCTCATGATTTAACTCAGCACTGAATTAAGCTACCTTGAATGCGGTGGAAATACTCCCAGAGATCAGATACAACATGGTTGAGCAGGCAAACAGAGTTACTTATTCCAAAATCTTTATGTGGGATAAATAAGATGTGAACAAAAGAATTGGAAGCAAAGGGAAAGAGAATAGTTACATACAAAGGCAAAAAAGGGTAATTATTCAAAAAAGCAATTTGGGTGCAGTCCACTCCATTCCTACAAGTCCCAGGAATGTAAGGCAAGCAGCTAGTAAAGTGAAAATTACCCTCAGTCTGGAGCCAGCGAGAGAGGCTGCCATATGAGTCTGGAATGGCAGCTGTTGTCTCTCAGAAGCAACTGTGCAAGCTGGTGAGCTTTTCAGGAGCCATATAAAAATGAACCCTGAACCCTCTGATTTGCTCTGTCTCTATTCTGTAAATGAGTCTAATGTGGCTTAAGATGGTAACGGGCATAGCTGCACCACTCTCAATGCAGCACCTAGACTTCAGCAAATGTCTGTTTCAAACCTGTTTTTGGGCTGTGAACAGCCACATTAAGTGAGTCACTGCAACAGCTGTTCAAGTGGTATGTACATGCTGTATTGTTATCTCTGATTAGAGTGCCTTTGCCTTGCATCTTTGGGACAGTACTTTAAATATGGCTGTGTTGCAAGCACTCAACATCCTGAGCAACGCTCTGCCATTGTGCTGTATGCATTCCTGGATTTTTTCTGTGCTATTCATTGTGGGTTGCCTTCTGAAACTTAACGGGATCTAGGGCTTAGAGTGAAATTAAGCTTTCAAGAGTGTTGAAGGGCTTGGTTCCCTAGTATGAATAAAGATTCACTAATACAAATACATCATGGTTTGGGAGGGTACATGACACCAGGATCCTTAAACTCTAAGCTCTTTTCTGCAATGACATATGAAAGTTTTAAGTATATGACTTATATGGACACTAATGACACTACCATTCCTTTACTTGTTCCAAAAGACCAACTTATTTTCTGCTTTGTTTATGTACGAAGCTTTTGACTGGACCTTCAGTTAGAAGAAAGGAGCCGTTTAACTATACACTAAGCAGCTGCAGAATGATGTAGCTAGCCATGTTAGTCTGAAATTAAGCAGAATGAGAGTGGAATGTACATTTGGAAGACTGAAAGGTTGATGGATTTAGCCTAATATTGAAGCTAGACTAATATTAAAGCTAGAAGTTTATGAGAAATATCTGCCTTGGGTGATAGTAGTTTGATAGTTCTTTGTGAGAGGAAGAGAAAAAGTATTGTACATGAATGGAAGCAGGAGGTTGGCAGATTTCCTGAACAACCAAAGATGAGTCCTCTACAAAGTGCTGCAACTATCTGGGTGTATAGAGTCGAGTTCATTAGGCTCATACTTCAGACTCTAAGGGCTGCTTATGAAAGATATGTAAGATATTGTATACAGCATTAATTAAGATTACTACATTTTTTTGGTGGGGAGTGGAAGTTGACTGCACATCTGTTTCCTGCGCTCTGTGCCACAGTAAGTGAAAACTAAATCATAGTCATTTAGCAGTTGTTCCATTTGGGGTTAAACTGCCACAGTTTCGCTTCCATTTACAACAGGTACATGAAATGGTTACTGTGGACCAGCTGGGGTATAATTTGTTCATCTATTCATAATTTGTTTCTGTCCTTACCTTGACAAGGTTTTGGAGCTCCATACTCACTGGAAATGCAAACTACCTGTTTCCATTCTAGTATTTGAACAGGGAGATTAGAGTTGATCAGGATAACCTTGGAGCATTGGAGAATCACGGGTATGTAGACAGGTTCACCCTGTTAGCCTGCAAACCAGTGTGAGGCTCCAATGGCAGGACTTAGCAAATGTGCATTGGTTATTTGGGATGATACATCCATACCTGTTCTGTTGTCAGTAAATTTATCCCAGGTCTCATTAAACCTGCTTCCAAAGTGGGTTTGTTAACACATGTTAAAAAGCCAGAGGATTTGCAACAAATTCTTTGTTGCAAACAATCTCTTTAATACAATCATTAAATCTGAGATAAATTTAAATTGTAGAAAAACCTGAACCACCTGTACCAGTTTATGAAAGGTCATCCTGTGGGCATGCATATGTAGTCTACACCAAGTAGATGCATAGCCCCTATTGGGCATTAAGCATCTTAAGACCCTAGTGAGTGGATTCTTGTCATCTTCACATTTTTCTGGGACATGTGGGCCTGTCATAGGAGGGTGGTCAAAATGGTAATTAAGTCAGATAATATATTATATCCAAGCATCCAAGGTAAAATTTTAATTCTGTAAAAGTGTACAATGGAGGATGCTAAAGGTTAATAGAAATATAAGATGGGGCTGTAAAAATAAATGGCAGATCATTCAAATAGAAAAATATATCAAATATGCAAGAAGTGGCAAATGGGAGGAATAATATGAAGGTGAAAGAGATAAATATGATAATTGGGTAATTGAAGGATTATATAAGGAAGATGTGATGGATGATTCTTACTTTATTCTTTGATGAAAGCTTCTGGGTTGGTGTGGTAGGTATGAGTTTGAAGCTATGTGTGAACTTATTTTTAATCACATTTCTTAGTAATTTAAGAAGTGGCTCTCATATTTTTCTGATCTATGTAACCAAATGGCAGGTGCTATTATGTGGATTATGTCACTCTATATTGGATTTAAGAGGACAAGGGAATTGCTATAATAAAACAGCTGTTGTTATGGAATGACTAGAAGTAGATTATACTATGTATTTAAAGGCTTTTATTCTTCAATTAATTATTTTGCCTGTGGCCCTAGTTCATTACTGCTGTACTTGGTTTTATCTATTCCAGTAAACCTTAATCTGCTAATCTCTTTTTGTGTCCCAGGGGGAAAAAAAAAAAAAAAAATATAAAGCATGAATGGTTTTTTTTTTTTCTGATTTCAGAGCTAGCTGAGAGATTCTATTTTGCTGAGACATGAAGCTTGTAGAGAGCAAAAGTACTATTTGCTTAACTTAAGAAACAGGCCACTCTCTTGTGATAGTCTGTACAACCTTTCTAAGAGGCTTTTCAAGCACTTAATATATAAAGGGTATAGTAATAGGGGCTTACTTTAGGGTAGACCACAGCATAGGATGGTGTACGGGGGGGGGCATGGGGGCAGTGCCTCCCCTGACGGCTGACACTGATGTTGTTGGCAGGGCTGGTGCCCCCTTGGCAGGGCTGCCACCATTAGCAGCTTCTGTGGGTGCCCGCCCAGATTCAGGAGGCACCAATCCATTTGTGGTCGCTGTAGATGAGCACTTACAAAAGTTTCTTGAACGCTACTTAAAGCAGGCATATAAATTCTAATCTTGGAAACCCAGTGTAGTTTTGATATAGAAACTAGCTTATCGTCTCAGCTCCAGGGAAAAATGTATAGCCCGTCTTCAAAGTCTGCCCTCCTATAGCAGCATTAATTGTAATCTAACAACCTGTTTAGAAACTTATAATTAGAAATATTTTTCTTATAGTCTTACTCTAAATCTATTGAAAATTTTCAGTAGTTCAGTAAGTGCTGGAGAACAATGTAGTTTGATTTAAGCTTACATCAGTAAAAATAAATACCATATAAAAACTTCTCTTCACAGATGTAATTCCAAGACACTTCTCTCCTGGTATGATTATCGACTAATGCAGTTCCTTTTTAAACTGCTTTTAGGAACCAGCTTTTAAGTAGAAGTGGCCTCTTGGACTCAGTGTTGCCTTGTGGCAGAACCGAAAAGCTAACAAGACGTCATAATCAACTTGCATAGGAAATCTACTGGACGATACAATGGCTGAGTTTTTTATTTGTTTCAACTGGTGCAGTAGTGAAGAGCCCCAATCAGTAAGTAGAAGGATGAACCTGATCTTGAATTAGATTTGATTTACCAGAGGTGTGAACTTTTGTCCTTGTATGGCCTTAAGCTTTGTAAGTAGCTACACTAAAGAAGCAGAAATATTCTGGTGCTGAATTTTTCTCTCTGAAGAAGAGGAAGGAATATAGTTGGTGAAACAGGACATGGGTATATTACCCAAGTAATCCTGAATGTGACCTGTTTTTGCAAAATGTGATGGATGTCACAATACTTAAAGTCAAATGCATTAGGGGAGTTCTTGTGAAGCACTGCTTTTAAGAGCGGATGAGATCTCTGGAATCCTTGACATGGAACAGATGTATGTAG